AAAAAAAAAAAAATCAGTTAACTTTTTTTTTTTTTTCCAGCGGCCCTAATCCTCTTCCGTAGCTGGGAGACAGAACTGACAAACTGCATTTTCATTATACAAAAAAATCTACATAGCATCTACAAAGAAAATAAACTGAAACAAAGATTAATTTAAAAAGTTTGAATGATTATATTTTGAATTCAGTTCAAAGTAATAAAAGTCTTTAAGGCTCTTGTATTGGTAGAGTGCTTTAAAGTAGACAAATAGGAAGATATACAGACAAAGAAAACACTAAATCTGGGTTTAAATTTGGAAAACGTAAAGCCAAAAAGTTCATTCAATTCAGTTTATTTATATATATTTATAATTCACAACACATGTCATCTCAAGGCGCTTTCCAGTTCACCAGATCATCCAGTCAAATTGATTCAAAGTTTTCTATCGAAGGAAAACCTGTCAGGAATCCAGTTTGTGTGGGTTGTGCTTTTGTTTGTCTTCCCTCCACCACCAGGCGGCGCCTGGTTCTCGTTGGCCTCCTCACACACCTGCGGATTGTTACCTCATTACCGGAGGACTTTTAAGCTGCTGACTGCCTCTACCTCGAGGCCAGAGTATCAGAGGCCAGTTTTGAAGACTCTAGCCAAGCTGAGTTTTGCTGAGTCAAACTGAGTTTTAACCTTGCTTTTTTTGTCTTTGCCTCTCGGCAGGAAGTCATCCTGCAAACTGGATGTTTTGGACCTTCTCCCCCCTGGAAGGATTCTCTGAGCAACAAACTGAGCTGAGGATTCAAGCTAGTGGTTTGGATCTACTTTCCCCCCAAGGATTGTTTGGGCTTCTCTCTGAGCAGGGGATTCATCTCCACAAGAAACCCTTTTAAGTACTGCAGGAAAAATAAGTTGCAGTCAGCTCCTCCGTTCCTCAAGGAAACGCAACCTGGGTAAACCCTGTCCGACCTCCAACAAGCAAGTCATTTACTGAAACAACCCAAACCGACTGGATTCAACAAGAGACACCTTGTCCTGGAAAGTCCCGGTTCGATAGTGTTCATAGCAGCACTGGACTCCTCTCAACCTACTCTCAATAAAACCCGTTAAACTTTTCCCTGGTCTCTCTGTTTGGTCTTCTGCATGTGGGTCAGATCTTTAGATAAAATCATGACAAAACCAGTTGACTGCATCGACTAATTGACTCTTCAGCAATCACTCGCACTAAACATGCTTGTAGCAACAGTGGAGAGGAAAAACTCCCTTTCAAAAGGAAGAAACATCCAGCTGAACCATGATAGTTTCTTGTTTGCGGTGTTCAAACAGAGCAAGAAAAAAAAGACTGACACAAATCGTTAGATTGTCAAACAGAGGAAATAATCTATTCTGGTGCTGCATGCAGTCATTGTAATTAACAACCTTTCTTTTGGCAGCATGCATCTTTATTTCAGTTGCTTTTAATTCATATTCAGATTTTTTTGTGTGAATCTGTGGCAAAAATCATGTCTGATCAAAAATAAATACATAAAACAAAAAACTAAAGGTTTTCAAACTTAAATCTGTTTTTTTTTCGAGGCCCAACAATAAAAAGCTTTGACCAAGACTGAGGCAGGGGTTTCACTATCATCTGTGACTCATCATAGAGGAGAGGCATGGACCAATGTCCACTGAGGGGTGACTGAAAATAAATTGGTACCAAAAACATTTTTCAGTCAATCTAAGCTGAAAGCGATAAACCAACAGAAAATAAAAAAAACCTGCACAACATCCATATTTTCCAAATATATCTCTGAGAACAGACCAGATTTTCATGAGGCCCTCGCTGATAAGGACATATTTATACATTAGTGTTGCTTAAATTAATTCATGGTTCGACATTAAGTTGGTTCAGTGGGTTTAATAAACATTAAAGACTGTAGACAGAAAGTTTACTCCATAAAACCAAAAACTTGTTTGTAAAAGAGCAAAAATTCTGTACTAGTCATTTTTATTTGTAGTATATTCTGAATATTTTGTTGCTGTACTGTCGTTTTTAGTTTTTGATTAAATATACTAATTTTAAAATGTCAAAGCAGGATATTCCAGATGATGGTATTACTGCTGCCACCTTCTGGTTTAGAGGAGAAATGCAGATCCCAGATGTGGTGAATTACACCCATAGGGGAATGTGGTGGATGATCCTCCCACCACCACATCGTGTTAGTATTTTCTTTTCTTGCTTTATATTATATTACAATTTGTGTTTAAGTTGGTTATTTTAGACAGGTATTTTCTAATGGGTGCACACTTTAGTTAATGTCTGTCTGAATGTTTATTTACACTTGGTCTTTTGTTTGAGGTGCTGCTGATACAAACCAGCTGGAGAAGGAAATGTGGAGCGTACCATCATTGAAAGACTGACGGGGGAGACTTGTTTCAAGAAGTTTGAAATTAGTTTGTCACTTAAATACTCATTTATTGTTTCTGTTAAGTAAGTTAGTTTTGCTTTATTTGTTTCATAGAATGGTTAATTTTGTATTTATTGGTTCTTTTGTTATGTTGTGCCTCCCTCATTTTGTCGACTTGGGTTACTCCATCCCTTTTTAAGCAGCCTTTAGTTCTTTGTTTGGAGGTCAGTTTTCTGTTTGAGTTGGATCCTCAGTTGACCTCAGTTAAGTTGGGCCCAGATTCTGTATTTAAGTTATTTTGTATTGCTTTTGAGCCTTTGTTAACTCTTTTTACACAATTAAATGGAAGAACTTTTTCAAATTTTGAACACCTTTTGTCCTTATTTAAGTTTGGTCCCTCACAGTTGGTGTCAGAAGTGGGATCCAATCAGTTAAGGACATTGGTGTATTTTTTTTTCTTCCCCTTACCTCTATACATTTTTGAATTGACAACTTTTTGTTGTTTTTTTTCTCTCTGTCCACCTTCTCTGAGAGGAACAGTTGCCAGAAATGCCTGGAAGGGGAAGAGGAAGAACAAGAGGACCAAGTTCTGAGCCAGATGAAAAAGAGACTGCTGAGGAAAATTGAGCTGTTGGTGGAGTATGTGACATAGAAGAGGGGAGTGAACCAACATTAACCGACTTGGCTAATCTTCTCAGAGCCCATATTGGACAACAAAAAGCCAAGGAGGACTACTGGATCAGAGAAGCTGCAAAACAAGACCAGAAATTTGAGGAACTGCAAAACAGTTCAGCTTGCTTAAAAGGGAGACTCAACAACAGACCCCTCCCCCACTGTGGCCTACACAGCAACCAGACCCTGGAATAGCAGCTTCACAGCAACATGGTGTATCAGGTGAACTTCTCTATGCACATTCTCAGGTTTCTAAGACACCTAAATTACAAAAACTTAGTGAAGATGATGACATTGAACATTTTCTCATCACTTTTGAAAGAATGGCTTCTGCCTGCCAATGGCCAAGAACTGACTGGGCCTTTCACTTAATACCTCTGCTAACAGGCAAAGCTAGAAGTGCTTTTTGTACATATGGATGTTGATTCATCAATGAATTATGACCAAGTCAAACTAGCTATTTTACAGAAGTATGATATCAACAGTGAAACCTACAGGCAAAGATTCCGTTCTCTTCAGGTGGAGCCTGAAGAAACCCCAAAAGAGCTCTATACAAGGTTAAAAGAGCTGTATGGAAAATGGGTGCAACCTAAGGGTAAAACAGTTGAACAAATCAATGAAATTATGATTCTTGAGCAGTATTTGAGAATGTTGTCACCAGAATTACAGGTGTGGATAAAAGAGCATAACCCGAAGACTGCAAAGGAGGCGGCTGAACTTGCTGATGTTTTTGTGGCTGCAAGGAGGAAGAACTCATCTTGGGCTTTACAAAGCTGGAAAAAGGATGACCACAGGCAGCCTTTAGCCCAACAGGTTTCAGCTGTGGGTAAGCTCCCTGTAAAAAGATTTGACTCAAAGTTTCAGAGGAAAAAGCCTGTCTGTTACTTATGTGGACAGGAGGGTCACACCAAACCAATGTGCCCTCAAAATGCTGTTAAACTGTCCCAGATGTGTTTTGTGCCCAGGGAAGAGACTCTAAAGCCTGGAGCAATGCAGCCATTTATGGAGACCTTTGTGGAACTCAACGGTCAGGTACTGAAGGCTCTGATTGATACAGGGAGCACACAGACCTTGGTCCAGCAAAGGTATGTTTCACCCCAATCTGTTTGCACCAGTGAAACAGTCCCAATTCATTGTGTCCATGGCGATGAAAGGAAGTATCCAACAGCAGATGTCTATGTGACTGTAAAAGGACAAACTTACCTTCTTAATGTTGGAGTAGCAGAAAACTTGCCATTTCCAATTATCCTTGGTAGGGACCTACCAGTGCTTATTGACCTGATACATTACCCTCAGTGTAATGTTGTTCTAACTCGGGCTCAAGCAAAGCAGTCTGAGGAAATGGTTTCTGACCTTAGTACATTGCCATTTTACAATGTGGAATTTTCAACAGAGAAAATCAAGGTCAGGAAGTCCAAAGCCTTGCGGAGGAGAGAAAAGTTTCAAGGGACGGTGGTAGTTCCCTCTGAATTGCCGCAGCCTGAGGTACTCCAAGATTTTAAAATTACTGGTAATATATTGGAGCTGCAGCACCAGGATCCAGATCTTGTTAAGTATTTTAAAGAGGCCAAAGTCAACAAAAATGGCTTTTGTATTCAAAATGATATTCTCTACAGAGGAAATGGGCCAAATAAACAGCTTGTGGTTCCAAAAACAGTTAGAGAAACTGTCCTGAAGTTGGGCCATTCTATTCCCTGGGCTGGCCACCTGGGGAAACATAAGACCTTAGCCCGCATAAAGTGCTGTTTTTATTGGCCTGGCCTACGTAAAGATGTTGTGCAGTTTTGTAGGAGCTGTCCAGAATGTCAAATTACATCAAACAGACTCCCCAACAAAGCTCCTCTCCAGCCTCTTCCAATCCTCAGTACACCATTTCAACGCCTGGGCATGGACATAGTGGGACCAGTGGAAAAGAGTAAAACAGGGAATCGATTTATGCTGGTGATTTTGGATTATGCAACTAAATATCCAGAAGTTTTTCCCCTGAAAGTTGTCAAAGCAAAGAATGTTGCATTCTGTTTGGTGCAATTCTTTGCCAGAGTAGTATTTCCTCAGGAAATACTTACTGACCAGGGCACAAATTTTATGTCGAAACTGCTTAAAGATGTGTATCAGTTGCTGGGAATTAAGGGATTGAGAACAACACCTTATCATCCCCAAACTGATGGACTTACTGAAAGGTTCAATCAAACCCTTAAACAAATGCTGAGGAAATTTGTCAATGAAACTGGCTCTGACTGGGACCAGTGGCTTCCATATATTCTGTTTGCATACAGAGAAGTCCCACAGGCCTCTACTGGGTTCTCTCCATTCGAGTTGGTTTATGGCCATGAAGTGAGGGGACCCGTGGCTGTTCTAAAAGAACTATGGGAGGGGAAGCAATTTAACAAAAATCCTCTAAATGTTGTATCTTATGTACTCCAGATGAGGGAGAAGCTGGAGAAGATGACGACGTTGGCCCATGAGCACATGAAGAAATCTCAGCATAAACAAAAGGCCTGGTATGACTCTGCCGCCCGGGAGAGGGGGTTCCAGCCTGGCCAAAAAGTGCTTGTTATGCTACCTTCAGAGGATAGCAAGCTGCTAGCCAAGTGGCAAGGGCCTTATGAGGTAACAGAGAAACTGGGACCAACAACCTACAAAGTCTCTGTTCCGGGTCAAAGCCGTTCTACTCGGATTCTTCATGTGAACCTCCTTAAAGAGTGGGTGTCCAGGGACCAAGAGAAATCTGCCTCTTTCTACATACGGAGTACAGAAGATGAGGAAACTGAGGAGCAATATTTCCCTGTTTCTTCACCCTCTCAGCCTAGTTTGGATCATCTGTCAGAGGAACAACAGTTGGAGGTCAGAGATGCCTGTTCATTTAATGTGTTTCAGAAAAATCCAGGTTATACTGATGTGATAATGCATGACATTGTTTTAAAGAAAAATGCAGCTCCAAAACGAATGAGCTATCGCATTCCTGAGAGTATTCTGGAACCACTCAAAAGTGAAATTGAGGTAATGCTGTCTCTAGGGATTATTGAGACATCACAGAGCGAGTGGTGTAACCCAATCGTCCTTGTTCCTAAAAAGGATGGCACAATTAGGTTTTGCATTGACTTTCGCTACCTCAATTCAGTCTCCAAGTTTGATGCCTATCCTACTCCTCGTATCGATGATTTGATTGAGAAACTTGGCAAAGCAAAATACCTCACCACCATTGACCTTTCCAAAGGATATTGGCAAGTACCACTCTCCCCTAGGTCCAAAGAGCTGACTGCTTTCAGAACAGCATGGGGTCTTTACCACTTTAAAGTGATGCCATTTGGACTTCATGGGGCTCCTGCCACATTCCAGCGTCTAATGGATAAGGTACTTAATGACCTTTCACATTTTGCTTCTTCATATCTGGATGACATCATTGTTTACAGCAAATGCTGGGATGAACACCTTCAACATCTAAAATTAGTTTTTGAGTGTCTCCAGAAAGCAGGTCTGACGGTGAATCCAGCAAAGTGTGCCATCGCCAACAGTGAAACAGAGTACCTGGGATTTGTCATTGGAGGAGGACTGGTGAAGCCACAAGTTAAAAAAATTGAAGCCATTCTGTCCTGTCCCATTCCACAGACAAGGAAACAACTTAAATCCTTTTTAGGTATGTGTGGTTGGTACCACAAATTTATTCCCAATTACTCTGCCAGAGCTGCTCTTCTCACAGATATGACCAGTCTTCGGGGCCCGAATGTACTATTATGGTCTGAAGAGGCTAAGGCAGCATTCAGAGATATTCAGCAGGCGCTGAGCAAAGATCCTGTGCTCCATTGTCCCGATTTTCAGCAAGAGTTTGTTTTAAAAACCGATGCCTCAGATAAAGGTCTTGGTGCTGTACTGCTCCAGGGACCACCAAATGATCGCCATCCAATTGCCTTCATCAGCCGAAAATTGTTTCCCAGAGAAACGCGGTATTCAACTATAGAGAAGGAATGCCTGGCTATAAAGTGGGCACTGGACTCACTTCGCTATTATCTTCTGGGAAGACATTTTGTTCTGGAAACTGACCACAAAGCTTTAAAATGGCTGAAGAAGATGAAGGACACAAATAGCCGAATAACTCGGTGGTACCTTGCCATGCAGCCCTACAAGTTTGAGGTGCATCACATCCCTGGCAGACAGAACATTACTGCTGACTACTTGTCCCGCTGTGCCAGCGAGCCTTCAGAGGAGGGGGAGTGTGTGGTGGATGATCCTCCCACCACCACATCGTGTTAGTATTTTCTTTTCTTGCTTTATATTATATTACAATTTGTGTTTAAGTTGGTTATTTTAGACAGGTATTTTCTAATGGGTGCACACTTTAGTTAATGTCTGTCTGAATGTTTATTTACACTTGGTCTTTTGTTTGAGGTGCTGCTGATACAAACCAGCTGGAGAAGGAAATGTGGAGCGTACCATCATTGAAAGACTGACGGGGGAGACTTGTTTCAAGAAGTTTTAAATTAGTTTGTCACTTAAATACTCATTTATTGTTTCTGTTAAGTAAGTTAGTTTTGCTTTATTTGTTTCATAGAATGGTTAATTTTGTATTTATTGGTTCTTTTGTTATGTTGTGCCTCCCTCATTTTGTCGACTTGGGTTACTCCATCCCTTTTTAAGCAGCCTTTAGTTCTTTGTTTGGAGGTCAGTTTTCTGTTTGAGTTGGATCCTCAGTTGACCTCAGTTAAGTTGGGCCCAGATTCTGTATTTAAGTTATTTTGTATTGCTTTTGAGCCTTTAACTCTTTTTACACAATTAAATGGAAGAACTTTTTCAAATTTTGAACACCTTTTGTCCTTATTTAAGTTTGGTCCCTCACAGGGAAGAACAAATCACCTGGTAGGGGGGCACGGTGGTGGGGGTGTAATGATTGGCCATGGTCCTCCTCTTCAGCTCTGCCTCTGACTGCTATCTACTAACTAATGTCACAGGATTCATAATAAAATCTAAAAAAGTCTGTGATAAAATGCTTGTAGCGCCACCTAGATTCACAATATCTGATGGGTCACACAAAACCTAGTGCTACCGACAGGGGCGGATTTAGGAAATTTGGGGCTCTAGGCAAAGACAGGCAGGGGGCCCTCTGAATTTAAGACGACAACACATCAAACAGACCCATTCTACAGATAGAGAAATGTTAATAGAATAGACATCCATTATCTGTTCTAGGTTGTGTCCCTCTCTTCTTGTCCCTTTTCTTCTTGTTTTCCTCTCTATGTTTTGTACTCAGCTGACTTTTCATGCTGTCTCTAAAGGAATGAAAGATTTTTTCCAAGCACTAAGCTCACTTAGCTGATTGCTCCTTCCTGTGTTTCCAAAAAGGCCAAAGTAAATAACCCAGTCCTTCTTTTCACTGTAGACAAGCCATGATCTGCTTATCTGTTCTCCATTTTTCATTTGGATGAAATAATAGCTGCATGAATCATGACAGCAGACAAGATAGAGGAAAGCAGGAGGCGGGGTTACCAATCTACTTGCTCTGGAGAGCAGAGTTCGCTGCTTTTTGATGTTGTCTCCAAAGTCTCCAGTAGCAGAAAAAAGTCTCTAGATTTGGCGCTAGGTGTTTTTTTTTTTTTTAAATCAGAGTGCTAGAGGGGTCTGAAAAGTCTGGGACAAACTTAATATTATAAGCGCTCTGATGGCATTTTAGTGAAAGGATTTTGATCAAAAACATGATTTGTACAAATAAGGAATAGTTGTATTAACCATACATGTAAACAGATTTTTGTGGCAACTGCTTAGTATTGAAGAAAAACAATCCAGCAATGAGACTCTGAAAAACTTAATTTAAAAAAGCGTTAGAAATTGTGGAGTTTGTGTTTGATTTTCTGTATCTATCTTTTTTTTCTTTTTAACTGATTTTATAGTTTTTCAATTTCCTAGGTAATACTAAATCACCCTCCGGCCACAAATAAGAACACTGAAGCTATCCTTCCCTCCATCCCTGAAGCCCGGAGGTGAAAATGTGCTGTAAGTGATTGAGGCGCTGACCTTGGTGCTGAAGTTCGGCGGTTTGACCCTGGATTAAATAAAGAAGGAGGAGTTAGATGATGCATTTAGATTTAGTCTGATTATTCCTATCCGAGTCCATGAATAGCTGCTGGTCTCTGTGTTTGTAGATATATGCATAATAGAGCACTGAAAGGCAGCAGCGACTTGAAGAGAAGAAACTAAAAGTTTTGTCTGATTTTTTTTTTTCCCTATAAGGAGCTGTGACGTGTTTGGTTTTGATATGAATCCCACTCTGGCTGCTGCAGTGGGACTCTTGGAAACCCGTCTCACCGCACGTCACTGGGCTGACATCAGCACGCGGCTTAAATACCCGCAACCTCGCGCTTAAGACAGTAAACAGAGAGCCTGCGCTGTGATGAGGGCATGATGAGAGCTGAAGTGTTCAGGCGGACCTGTCATGCATGCAGGCATGGATTAGTTTGAGCCACAATCTTTGTTTTTCTGGAGCAACTTTTTTTCTGAACTTTACA